GGAGCCTTAATGACTTATTGAGGTGCCCCTGTTATACAAGCTGGGCTGTCTCTAGGCGACAGCCTTCAGAGAGGAGCACCTGTGGAGTGAGCCCCTTTAGCAGGAGTTTTGCGGAGAGCCTAGGTTCCTCGAAAAATATGCACAATCATGACTGCCCGACAAGCTTCAAATATGGAGGTTGGAAAGTCTTGGGCGAGAAGCTTCCGATTCCTCCACTATGTTCTTGTTAGAATCCAAGAGGATGCGATGAATTGAATAAATTCCTCTCCCCACCGGACCTGGGGTTGATGGAAGGCCGTGGGATCCTCCTTTCATTTCCGAGCTAGCGGACATTGACGATTGCCATGAGATATCCGCGTAGCGAAGTCTCGGACAGATAACCGGCAGTCAGAGAGGAACGGATGAGGCAGATGGAATAGCGGCGCGTGGTGAATTACCGCCTGTGAACGCTTTTTGAGTGCATGCCTGATTGCAACCCGGCCTTGCCGCTGATTACAACGAAAAAAACGAAAGGAAGAAATCGCAATCTTGTTGACGGTCCATAGACGACCGCGAGAGGTCCGCCGGACGCTATTGAAACGCCCCGGACGTGGAATTCGCTCAGCGATCATACGCCATTGACCTCTGCAGGGCAACAGTCTCCACATGGCGACGGCGACGACGCTTGATTACCTACGAGATGCCTCATTAGCGCAAATCATGAATACCGCGAGACGAGAAGGTTTTAAACGACGAGCTGCAGACGTTCTGCGCGCTTGACCTAGCCTCTTGCCACTATGACCTCCAAGCATGACAACAGCTTCCAGCATTGAGACCGTACACGGCGGCTTCCGATCATGACTACGGCTAGAGAGAGAATGCGCGGAGAACGATCTCCGTCATTGGAAACATCCACGGGAGGGAAAAGGTGGGATTCGTCGATATGGAACAGAAATCGTGACGCTGGAAACCATAGACGATCGGAAACGCAGCGCCGGAAGCCATACACACCTGAATTATTTCCCGATGAGTGAGCCATTGCGAGAGCCTCGAAACGTTTAGAAACCTCTTCATCTGCGGCGTCCAATGGAGGGAAGCGCGAACCTCGAATTCTCGATCCTGATTTCGATGTAGCTTTTCATCCCGTGGGGCTTCTGCATCTCGGTGAGAGCAATCATCGACGCGCGCCTTTAGAAAGCCGAAGAAGATCCCCAGAGAAGACCTGTCTGAGCCTTGATTTTTGATGAAGAGCTCTGATTTTTTCCGGTCTGAGCTAATCGAAAGGATTTGAGGTTCACTCGCGCGCGAATTTCCGATCGCCTATACTCCGAGAGACTACGCTGGGATTCTGAGAGAGATGCCCTTGCAGATCGGCCCGCCTGGCGGTCTCACAGCAACGTGTCTCTTTCCCGATATACAGTCCTTCATTTAGCGCAATCTAATGACAGGATGTTTTAGATTACACGCCCGAGGATGGCAGAAACGATTCCTGTCTAATCAAATTAAGCCTGGTTCAGAACTCCGATGTGAATCGGGAAATAGCTCGGAGCCCTTGAAGTCAGATAGAGCGTCTCTATCTCGAGTTCCGCATTGAAAAATTATGTTTCAGCGAATCCAGACGTTCCAGATCTGGGGGTTCACGCACACCCCCTGCGAAATTCCGGGAGCATATGAATATTCCCGGATCGAACGTTCGCGGAAGACGGAGATCCAATTGAGAGAACTGGAGGAACTCCGGTATCGGAAGGGGAATGGCATGTCGTTGCGGTAATTGAGAGATCAAATTTCACCCCGCCCCGGGATTCCCAAAGCTGCCGCCCAGCCCCCTCGAAGGTTCCTCTTCTATCGAGACAGGGAACCGAGCCCCAGTCTGAGCTCCAGTCTTGGGCCAGTAAGACTGTCAGATCAAGGAAAAGAATCAATCAGACGAAGATGACTTGGCCGACGGGATATCCGGAGCCTCCACTACCGGTAGTTCGAGCATGCATAGGTTCATGGGGAGCGGGGGCAGGTATGATGGATCCTCGGGGCGAATTCTGTTCTTCCGTCGGAGCGCTCGAAGATCCTCAGTCCGCATCAGCGTGCCTGTCGTCTAAAATGCTGCGGCGTGGATGAAACAAATTATATTCATGACCACCGGATCATGGAGATCGTCATTGGGATGTCTTGGAGTCTTGAAGGCGTGCTCAATGGAGATGTATTCCTGATATGTACCTACATCTATTTCGCCTCCATATCATATGTATGTCTGGAAAGCCCGCCCATGCCTTCGAGGTTTCAATCAAGAGGCTCCCTATCGCTCGCGCACCGCAGCTGCGGTGTCCGAAAAGGGAGGGAGAAAGAGTTTTGAATGGGTGCATAAGCAATCAGGCGATGTCTCATAATGACACGGGTGTTGTTCAAGCCCCGAATTATTGGGTAACCTGTTCTGAGAAGCGCTGGGGCTCGAACCGATCGATAAGAAGGCGAAGATTTTCAGAGGAGCGTTTTCATGCTTGTTGAAATCGCCTAACACGTCCATACCTGCTACATTTTCTTCGTAAGCGCCCCGTTAACGACTTGAGCTCACTCAGTCGACGAGAACGATAGTTTCGCCCTCCATTAGTTTCTCAGAGACCCCGTGATCATTAAATTGGGTAAGGCGGAAGAGCTTCAGATGAAACTTGGCAAAGCTTCCGCCACGGGAAATGCTCAAATTGTAGACTTCTCCGGTTTCGAATGAATCTAAAGTTGTCAGATGCGTAGGTTTTATACTCGCTCTCGCTCTTGCGATCGGATCATACCTCATAGCCTACATGCAGACGATAACGCTAGTCTCTCTTTTCTGTTTTTCTGATACACGACTTTTTTCTGCGTGTCCGATGTCAAAGATCCATCGAAAGGTGGAAGATGAGCTCGACCAGAATAGGTACTAAGTCATTCCACAAGAATGTTACTTTCTCGAAGACGTTTTTTTTGCGGTCAGAGATGAACGGGCGTGCGAACATCCGCCTCCTACGTTCGACCTGACGCAGTCGGTCCCATGCAACTCTCAGACGGAATGTGAGCATCGATTAAATATCACATTTTCGAGGAGACATGCAGAGACTTTAATTGATGATAATTCGAGTCGCTTGTTTAGGATGAGGCGCTGAGAGCTGTTCCAGAAATAGATCGATGGACGATTCTAGTACAAGAATGTTCTAGCATCTCTTTGGAGGTCAAGCATCTGCCATGCACGAGGCAGAACTAACTACAGGGGGAGCGGAGAGGGAAGCAGCCCCATGAGTAACGAGGACAACGGACATGCTAACCCAATCATCTGACGTTCTACTTCTCCGCGCGGAATCATTCTCGGCTGCTCAATTTGAATGCGGGCAGACTGGGAACTATCGTGGAAGGATTGAAGACTTTTTTGAGCCATATGGAGAGCAATGCTGAGGAGAGACGAATAAGTGCCGGAGCCACACAAGCGTATAGTTGAACTGCGGAACTCGCCGCCTTGGATGATTTTCTTTCTTTTCTACAAATCAGTCGATGACCGCCGCGTCGCTGAATTCATGCTTGTGGTATTCGTCTCTTGCGGGGATCGCGGGCTGGACTATAAGTACATGGGGTCCCGGAGGAAAGGGTGTAGGACTTCATCCTGAGAAGTCGATAGGGGGTTCAGTCTCGAGACTGCCAGCCGTTGACGACAATTTCCGTTAACCTCCATATTCGGGGAGAAAGTCTAACGATTGACTCAGAGAGTCACCCGGAACGCATGATAATGGCTCGGAAGGTTACACCGTTACACGGCATCCGAAGCGCAACTTGATATGGCTGCATCGGGTAAAGCACCTGCGAAAGAGATCACGGCCAAGCCGCGATCCTTCCCAGCTCCAAGCGTTGCGATGAGACGCGGGATTTATTCTCTTTTTGATCACGCTGATATTGTGAATACTGAATGTCTGGAGGAAGCAATTCCTGGACATGAACGGAGATGATGATTTCTGCTACTCGCCTGGGCATTGGAATCTTCAAACGGAAAATCTTGCGCCGGAAATCGTCCGCGCAAGTTGCGAAAGGCACCGTTTCCATTTGAATTCGGGCTTCGATTGATCTCGTTGGCTGATCTCGCCCTCGAGAGGTCACAATCCTCCGCCTTCGACGCTGAATCTCGGCTCTCACACGACTTCTGTTGTTGGGATGGCTGAGTGCTCACTGCGTTCAGCTCTCGGAGGGCCAAGCTGGCTTTGCCATAATGAGACGCGACGCTCGGTACCGCGTGAGGCTATCTCGAGAGTCTGCCTCTGGATCTCCTGGAAATGGTTCGATCCCGGAGCAGATCGACAGATCAAGTTCCAGTGTTGATCTTCTTCGGAACTTCTTCGTATCTTCCTCTCACTCATGTCCACAGAAACGTTTCCTGAGGCGACATCCAGGATGATCGAGCTGTTGTCAAGGTCAAGAAGAGTAGTCAGGATTGTATGTTCTCAGAATTCAGAGTTAATCGACTCTCATTGGGAGAAACGACTTTGCCTCAGCCCCGGAGAATCCGGAGGATTCACTGTAGTTAGACTTCGCTCCTCTCCCACGCCCTGAGGGTGCGTGGGAGCGTGACCTGCCAGCCCTGAGAACGAAATCACCCCATTTCCCGAGTTCTCGAGCGACTTTGTCCAGCCTGAAAATATGGAGATCGGAAATCAGGAAGTTGCAAAAGGCGGAGGTTGCGATAGATTCAAAAGTTGCGCTCTGTTTCATCCAATAGGAGGCAGAAACCCTCTCTCATGGGCGGGACCTTAGAACGAATACTTTGGCGGCAGCATCGTTCCCACAGGATATCTTCACGACATCATCGAAGCAGTTGCTATTAGGCAACGAGTTTCACGTCAAACAACAGGTCCTTCATCCGTCCGGCCATCGAACTCCGACGCTCAGTCGTCCTCGAGGGAAAACTCGGTCCTGCCTGTGCTAGCCCCCCTGTGCGCGTCTCTGACAGCTCACAGGAATTCCAGGACTATATCCTCTCGACACGCGGCTGAGTCAGTCTCGCTGTCAAAACGGAGACGTAGCCATAGGTCTGCCGTACCTTCACGAACGAAACTTCAAGACGCCGCTGGTTCACCAAGTTCCTCGCTCCTGACTCGTTCACGATGCCCTGGCCCATCGGACTCCTCCTCCTATCAGTGGGAGTTGTCACCGCTTCAGATAATCACAACTACACATGTCCGAGCTGCTCAGAGGATCTGGAATTCGTGAAGATGATGCGCATCAACGAAGTCAAGAACACGATTCTCGAGAAACTCCGTCTCTCGAGGGTTCCCAACATCACCAGTGCAGATCTCGAGCACTTGCCACCCATTGATCAACTGATCTCAGACTTCGGCTTGAGCTCTGATATGTACAGCGATCAGCCGATGGAACCCCTGGGAGAGAACACCTACTACGAGGACGACAAATTCCACGTCAACGTCGAGCAAGCAGCTCTATTCCCGGATACCGGTGAGTTGATGATTTTGGCTTCTGGAGAACGCCAACCGAACTCTCACATTTGACCAGAGATCCACAACTAGAACCCTCTGACAAATTTTTCTGGCCCTCCGTTGATCATGGTACTTCTTTCCGACCCAATGATCCGATCTGCGTTCGGATCGGATAATTGGGATGGGTCTCGGGTCTCGGACCTCTAGCTGTAGGTATCCAATGATTACATTCGATTTCGTGGAGCTATCATTCTCTTCGAGTCATTTTGGGAGTCTCTGGAGGCTATTCTTTGTCCACTAAGCCGGTCTAGGATTTTCTGGGTTGACTGGAATCCTAGATCTGCAGAAGGAACCTCCCTCCTCGGACTTCGGCCTCCTTTCCTTCCCCACGTTCCCCGTAGATTTGACGGAGGCCATGACCATGAGAATCAAATTTTTCTTCGGTCGATTTCGATTGTTGTCTGACGAGGCAGAAACAAGGCTATTTGTTGTCGAAATCTCCTCGTAGTTCAAGGTCCGTCCACCTGGATGTTTGACTGGCCCAAGCGCCTACATTAACTCTTTCAGTTACGCTGTCTGAGGTGGCTCGCGCGCCCGCCTTTAGAATTGTTCTGGGGTATCGAACCGTCTGGGTGTCTGACGTTTCAGAAATACGGCGTCGTTCGCCGGTTTCCTGCCGCGGATTCGGCATGCCAGACGTCTCTTCAAGTCCGTTCTGATGTTTGGAATCCATCGTGTAGACGAAAGCCCCGATCTCGAATTGAGCGAATCCAGCACGTTTTCTGATAGAAGAACCCGTCCATCGAACCCAGCAGGATCGGGACGATCAGCGCGATAACTCACGATCGAAATTCCGTTGTTGAATCTCAAGTGCCTGCATAGTTCATTAGAGGACTGTCGTTCATGTCCTGGACTTGTCCTCCATCGAGGTACACTTGGGTGAAAATGATCAAACGGTTTTAGTGCAAACCGTTGACCATGCGGTGACCCGGGCTCGCCCGTCCAGATGGCGGACTCCCAGGTGATAGAGCGCTGCGTACACATAAGCGAGCTTCGCGCTTTGTCATTGTGCATTCTCTCTATTCCACAAGGTTTGGACTCCGGAGAGCTGAGTGCACCCAATAGGTGCCCTCAATCATTGGTCCGGTCGACCTTCTGCTCCGCTCTCATTCTTTCTCTTGAGTCCGCTCGTCATCATCTTCAGCTTTTTCCTCTTATCATTCGTTTCTTCGGGAAGAGAAGGGCCTTATGTCAGAAGCGAGTCGTTAAAGCCGGCCTTCTTCGTTCACTCGTTCCCTCGGACCGTTCGCGAGAGCTCCGACCGAGCCAGGATTGCACTCGATCGGAAGACTTCTCGGACTCGGAGAGCGCTCCGGATTTCCAGTTGTTCGAAAGAAAAGAAAAAGCCGATGTCATGCCGTTCCTCAGCGCCCGTGACAATGACCCCGATAGCCGGCGGGTGCGCGACTCTGACCGATCTCCTTAATCGCGTAACGTCCATTCAGGAAGCCACAGAGCGAATAGGGGAAGATTACTTTCTCCAAACACACGCCTGGTTTCTCAAAGCGGTGCAAGTGTCAAATGTCGCTCGTGCTCCGTCTATTTCGCTCTGTGCATAATGGAGGCAATGACCACCTCCGCTATTAGCCGTCGATGCCGTGGATGCCGCAAGCTGTTCACATGCACACGCTGGCCACGGTGACCGTGAAACGATCTGCGTGGAAGAAGGATAGCATCATCTTGTCCTATGATCGGATCATCATCATCAGATTGGTAATGACATTGTAGCCTTAATGGAACTTCTCCGCGTTGATTGATGATTGAGGACGGATGCTACGGTGATCTTTAGAAGAGTACGTTTGTCGCCGTGTACTACGCTCGGACGGGTATAGTCTCTGGCGGAGTCCGCCAAGTGACAACACTCCAACAATGTATCTAGATGGAACCTTATCCGATCGGGGTTATTGACCCTGTTCATTTGAATATGCAGAGATACGTGCCGGCGTCAGGCGTTGAAGATGCGGCAGCCTTCGCCGCTACCGATTCCGACAGGCGACGAGATGCACTAGCCAACGTAGGCTACCGTCAAAACAGCGGTATCGCTGGTTTTCCTTCCGATTTCACGAGCGACTCGCGACGATGTCCGGTCAGAGCGATTGTTCTAGAATAATTGTTCGGAGTTCCCTAATTGATTCTCACAGACTTCGACCGGGAGCTTTAATCGCAGTTCCGGCTTCGGAGGAGCGAAAGGTGTTCTGGTTGACCCGTCGGCATACGCGACTGCCGGTCGGCGTTGTTTGGTCAGCAGAACTCCTGGTTAGGTTAGAGCTCGCGAAAGATTAGCCACGTTCTGAGTTTTTAACGCTCATGCGAGCTCTGATACAGTACGCCTGGCCTCAACGCCGAGGCCGAGCGTGCTCCCGATTATCTGGACATGACGTGCCAGAACTGTCCTTCCGTCCGGCGGCGGAGGCCGATCACGGAATTCTAGTCTCTGTTCTTCTGGTCCTATACTAATCGTCGACAATTCACGATACTCTCGACTCGTTCTGTCACTTATACTGACGATCGAGACCTGTCAGGCCATCATCCTCTGATTCTGCAATTATTATTATCGTCGTCGTCGTCGTCACACAGCCCTCGAGCGATAACGACAGCAGCGACTAGAATGGACTGCCGGCCGTTCCAAAAAGCATGCATCATCAGAAAACCCTGTTTTCTCCGCTGACAGAATGCGTACCGCGGTTCTAGTCCAACTTAAGGTGTTATTCGCGATGACGATGATGGCGTACCGACCAGAAGAAGCGGGGCATCGAACGGAACGCCGAGAGCTGTAATTGCACGGTCGGAAGACAACCCCGTCCGGAGCCGGTCATTTATTTTTACTGATTTTCGGACATCGCGCCCCTGTCAGTGGAGGCTGTCGATGACCGGCACCGACCTATTCTCCACTTTTGGTCTCCACAGCTGTTGCTCCCCATGCGTCAGATGCGTCCGTGTACGCAGGCATGTACCGGCTGCCCTTAACGGTATGCAGGCTTTCAGGTCTGAGCACGAGTAGTGTCCTGGCAGCGGTCGGGTAGTATCGGTGACGGCGGCGGCGACGAGCGAAATCCGACTCCACCACAGACTCGTCAAAATATTTTTATTACTCGTTTGGAGAGCGGCTCAGACTTTCTAAATCAGTTCCTTTACCTCTCGACTCTTGCAAGTCTGAATGAAACTCCCGCGCCCTGCGATGACGATGAGTGCGACGAGTTACTTGTTTTCAAAACCAAAGCATGTCGTAAAGCTCACTTCGACGGAGTGAAATCCGCGGTATTCGACCCGGCGAGCTTAGCCATGCCATGATGGAGCTCTTCTCTAGTAGTATGCTAGTATTCATCTACTGTCTCGTTCTGGCGACGAGAGCTCGAGGTCTCAGGCATATTTACGAGAATACGCAGAGATCTGTATGAGATTGTGTCGTAGAAAACCCTCAATCCCTCAAATCGAACGGAACGAATGACAGCCTATGGTCGTGCCGTACCAAAACACTCTGCCAAACGTCACCGAGGCACAGTGAGTTGTGAACACCGGGAGTACGGGTTCCATACTCTGTCCGAAAGTCCCGAATCACGTTCTGATCGCCCGACGGTTTATGCCCGCGGAAACTTCTCCCAGCTCCGTTTCCTCAAGCAGGCCTCGTATGGAGTGCAGCGAGCCCGAGGGCTTCCACGGATTCCACACAATGTAAGGTAGCATCCTGAACTCGAGAGCGCGGAGCAGCGTCTTCGAGCGGAGAAATATGCGGATATCGCCTCGTTTATTGCTGTGGAAAAAAAGCACAAAACAGTGACCTTCTGATATTGAGGGCAGGGCCGCGTGAACGGTCCGTATTCATCTTAATTGGAAGCGAGCGCAACACTGAGTTCTCGGTCGTGAATAAACGACTCGACCGGTTGGAGCGAGGCGCAGCGTGAGAATGAGTTCTGAAAGATATGTCGTTTTCCTGAAGGTCATTGATGGTAATTTACATTTCCAAATGCCGAGCTTGTCAGTGAAGCTGCTCTCCGGTACAGACGGCCTTGAGCGCTCACAAATCGTCCATCGAGATATGTGAGGATAGACTCCAGAACTCTGTTCTTGCCGCTTTCCACTGTATGCTCCGTAAAGCTCGCGCATGGAATATTTTTCGGAGATTAGGCTGAAACGCTGGTTTCCAGGTCAAGAACAGCTTGATGCATTTCAGGAACTTCAAGGTTAGGAATGAGATAGATTGGGAGTCCTCGAGCTTTTCTCAGCGCTGCAGTACAATATGAGCGTTTCTTCCAGATGTCAACCCGAAATACGTGGAGATCGCCGAGTGGGTCGCCCCAGAGAATGTGTTCCACTTCAAACTGAATGCCGCGCTCCTGACTCGCGAGTTGCGGAGAGCGGAATTTCAGTTTCATCTCAGTTGTGGTGTGCTCCACGACCTCAAATCGTTCACCGCTGTCGTGGAAACGGTAGTACGCGACAAAGACGGTTATCGAACTAAAAAGGTAAGCTTAAGCGTCCCAGAGCTGTTTGAGAATCGAGCCTTCTGAAGAGGATCAGTGATCGTCGTCGATGTTCCGGCGAGGCTTCCCTATGATTTCTCGGAAGCTTCGATAAACGCAGCAGGATGGGGTTCAAACTTTCACTTCGGTGCTCTCTTCCCGAAGGCCGGTGCCATTGATGTGAGGAACCATCGCTGCGGACACAATGGTCGTTGGATCCAGATCGAGGTCAAGAAAGAAGCCCTAGCCCCATGGTTCAGTTCTCTCGGAGGCGAAGGCAACAGCCTGAAATTCCGCATCTACGATCACACAGGCCAAGAAGTCAGCTTGCGACTGCCCAATGATGGAAAATTCGTAAGTCTCTCATTCCCGCTTCCACTTCCTCAGCAGGTTTCGCCTCGTCAGCGAGCAAGCGGAAGCGGAGGTTGGAACCTTGCTTACTGGGAATTTCGCTTTCAGCGGCCGTTCTTGAAGATGGTCTTGGGAGATGACGGCAAAGTCCGTAAACGGAGGTACGTGGGTATCAATTGTGAGCACGTCCGGCCGTACAAAGAATGCTGTCGATACAAGTTCGAGGTCAACTTCCTCGATTACGGCTGGGAGTGGATTATTGCGCCTCGACAATACGAAGCTTACTATTGCTATGGAGAATGTCGTGTACCTGTCAACACCCGTCAGCATATGTTCTACATCGAAGAGGACAACAGGAAATGGCACGGAAAAAATACCAGCCGTGCTGCACTCCGAAGAGTCTACGATCGATCAACATGCTTTACATGACTGATGAGAAAACGATTCACCACGGCAATCTTCCTGGGATGGTGGTCGATATTTGCTCGTGTTTGGCTTGAGCAACGCCGTAGGTGTTTTAACTATAGCAGGACAGGGAAGATGATTGTATCCCGTGTACTATTTGATAACCAATTGTTAGATGAGGGATGAACTGCGGCAGAAGCCGGCTTCCTTGCTGAGCGAGTTTCTGGAGGATCTAACTCTGGTGTCTCATCAGGAGCACTCGCCGAATGAGAAAATGTGAAAAAAAACCTTCCGCAATGTCACGCTTGTTCTAATACTAAGTGCCGGTCCGTTCCGGGACGAAAACTCTTGACGACTGATCTATTCATATCAGAATCCGGAATTCGGGATCCTTTGGATCGTTCAAGAAACGGAATCCCTCGACTCATTTCCAGCGCGAGGTCGCGAGCAACTGAGATCGTCTGCTCGTGAAGCAAAAGTTCCTTTCCATTGGATCGGTCAAGTTTCTCTCTGAGAAAAATAGTGGAGCGAATAGAGAAACGTAGTCTGGCCAAGTACAGAACTCCCTGACGTGAAATTTCACTCGATCCCGGAAGAATATATCGACTTCAAGTTTCCCTCTTCGCTTCATCTCCACGTCTTCGATCTCAAAACTGCCGCCGCCGAACGCTTTTGAAGTCCGGGGATAATCGAATTGTATGCCCAAAGACCGTCTTTGTACCCATTTGTCTTGCGAAATACGACGTACGCTGTGCTGAGCATCAATGAAGAGCAAGCGCATCCCCGTTACCCCGATGGCGCCTAGTCAGCGATGAATCTGTGTAAAAAGCGTGACGTCGGATTGCTTGTTTTTTGGCTGTCGCCACAATCAGCACGATTCTTGCTGAAGTTCTCTTCCCCGGTAAGCACTGAGAACCTCGCGGGGATTCGCCGGGAACTTCGTCCGTGGCAATGAGAGCACCAGAGCATTCTGCTGACGGCAGATATTGATCTGTTCGGGAGCGTGGCCCTTTCATTCGAAGTTGCCCTCCTTTTTATCATGCATCGTAGCTGTATATCTTTGTGTATATTTTTTTGCCTCCGTCCTCTTGTAAAGATAGGTATCGAATAGCGACTCGAATTCGACTGGCAATCAATCGATCAAACCTAGAATCTGCGAACCATGTATCGACGCTGTAAATATATGCGAAGCCCGAGCGAGTTATCCGTTCTGCAACGTTTTCTCCAGTATTTTCCGCTTTCAATGAGGCCGCCCAGGAAACGTCATGCTCGAGTCGTGTGAGCTTGGCTGAAGGAACCGAGCCTCTCTCGGTGATCGAGGTTGATAATATTCGCTTCTCACCTGTCGGTCTCATCGTGTCAGAAGTTACTCGTTCGACCTTCGACAGATCTTTGCTGCTGCATGACCAATTGAGTCTCGGATTCGCTGATTGGCTTCCTGTGGAGCATGCATGAAGAAAAAAACGTAAAAAACTCGGTCCGAAAAACCCGAAAGAGAATTGAGCAGAACAGCCCGGTGAATAGGAGAAGCAAACATGTGTGATGAAGATGAGAGAAATAATAAAAAATGCCTATCGACAAACAGCTACCACCTTGTTGTGAGACCCTCTGCCTTCTCAATCAGCGAGATCGGGAGCGCTCCCTGCCTCAAGCTTGGCGTCATATACGTGTAGCGCATTCGCATGACTTGGCCTCATATCGCGAGGGCCGATCTCCCCTCGGTTCTCTTCCGATCCGGATCCCCACCGGGGAAAGATATCAACTGGAATTCCCTGGAACCCTGGAGCTCCCAAATCGGAACACACATCCATGGCTGCCGGGGAGAGGTGAGGAATTCGTCTTCCGTACTGCAGCCCGCGCAGACAAATGGATGAGAAAAGCTACGGGTTCAGCGGAAAATTTATTGAAATCGACTCTCGCGTCGTCACGAACTTCAAACCACCACTTGTCAGGAATGTGTGGTCAGCGTTTCTCAGAAATTCAAGTATTCCGTCCAGGACTCACTCTGTTTGGTACTTTAATATTGCTCATTATTATATTCAATTACAATAATCAATCATCATATCAATCAACCAATGAGTTATCAATTACAGTAATTGCCTCAATAATCAAACTTGCAACCGATCATTGTCATCATCGTTATGAATACTCTCCTCACAAATATTGGTATAGCGTGTAGTAAATACGAGTGGACTAGAAATTTAGCGTATCCGTAATCGTGATGATGATGATAATAATCATCCGCGGGTCGATCGACAAAAAACCTGTCAAGTCAATTTCCGAAGGAGCAACGGCCGCAAGTATCCGTCGTATCTCCTCCATCATCCATTTCCGCTGTTTCGCTCGAAGTGTCAGGCTTACTCTGTCGAATTCTCAACGAACTTCCTCTGCAGCGCAGCCTGCAGGAGGCGGAACATACAAAAAGACAACAAATACCACTCGGTGTACTATGGAATCAATTCAGCACCTTAGGCATCCGTCAATCAAACCTCGCTAGGTGCCCAGATGTAGGTGTGTAGTTCGCTAGGTCACATGGTTGGTTAAATAGAGTTTCAGGCAGGTAGATAGGTAGGAAATCCTTTTGATAGATCCATCGTGCTCAAATACCTCGGGGTCTAATCAGGGAAAGAATGAGTGGGTGGGTTGCGAACGAGGGATTTCCCATGGGATTGGTGCGATGGGGCTTCTCAGTGGTACAAGGAATGGGCGGGGGTGAGAAGGGTTCGGTGGATGAGGTCTCGTGGAAGGTGCGATCCGACGTGGGAGCGAGAAGAATAGGTGGGGACAATAGCGTGCGTGGAGAAATGTACGCGACGAAACTCCGATCGATGGAATCGATCCCTCAATACAAACAGAAGAGTCCGAAAAAAACTGGATTCTAGGTGGATCGTCATCAGAATGGGTGGGCGAGATTGACGGCGGCCGCAACGAAAAGTCTCATAACGCAAACACCTCCCGTGAGGACACTCGCATCCTTAGTATGCGATCGAGTTGTCTACCTCAATCAATCTGCAGCGTAACAGAGGTCGATCCCCTCCGGAACATCTTTTCCTGCACTTCTTCCATCTTACACTTCGCCCAACTTTGGGTCCAACATGCGTGGGTTGGCCCCCAACCTACAAAATGGGAAGCAGCTGTCCCGAGAAAAACTTCCTTGTCTCATCAAAAGTTCACAACGTTCATCACAACGCAATTCACACAACCACGTTAGCCATTAACAACAGGAAAGCAAATGAATCCGGAACGGAAAAATGGCTTCACTCGTTTCTCCGACCCTCATCTGGTTTCGAAATACACGCCTGGAATCCTCATTCAAACTCTGTTGACCTTTTTCTCGCACTCTCTCTCTCTCTTTCTCTCCCCGTCAATCATCGCTAAATTTGGGCCGTTCGGAGGAGAGCGCAAGTTCTACTCGATTGGTTCAGTCAGCGCGGAATTTCCGTTTGTTCTCGTTGCATAGAAACTCTCCTACCGTGGCTCGGTACGCGCTTTCGCACGAGCACGTTCCCCCTTCGCAAAGGCCGCACAAAGCTCATTCGATCGTTGTGGAGACCTCCCCCGAGAAACTGATGGAGTTCTGGGGATAATACAGGGAGAACAGAAGGCGCCTCTATGTTCAGGTATTGCACATCATGTCCCCTAACAATATCGCTACCAAGAAAAGTCGTCTCGTGCTCAACCCACTTGAACATATCTCATTCGTCTCGTTCAGTCTACCTCCCTACTAAGAACACCTGATTCGACTACATACTTCCATTAGCATCGTAGAAAACACCGGCGCGCGCAACGACCTTCCAGTAGGTCGAAATATGCGTGGACGAGAGATGATGAGCGCCTCCGTCCGATCGGCTCCTTGGGGTCGACCGTTCCTCACTTAGGTAACAGCCAGGTGCTCGTCAATTGAAAACATTGGCGCACGGTTCGTCGTGGATCACTCCGAGACGCACAACACGAGTTTGATCTAACTAAGTAAGAATCACCGTTAGATCGCGGTGTGTCCGCTGCATTCACAACCATATTTCGCATATCACGCGGCGTCCTCTCAATGCTAAGTATTGTTCTCTCTTTCTTTCTTTCTTTCTCTCTCTCTCTCGATCGCTCGTCCTTTCGCTCTCTCTCAGTCAAATTCATTAGTTTGTAAGGTAGGCTTATGCAATATCTCGCCATTCGGATGAACGTCGATTAAGTGTCCTTCAAAGATCCATTTATAGTTATAACTAGTTTTCTAGAGCCCGCTCTATTTCTGTGTTCACAAAGCCAGACGCCCTGCCACTGGCCCAGATTCAACCGACCGTCGGTTATTGGTATGGATAACGAGGAACCGAAGAGCAGCGATTTTATGTGAGCCGGCTGGAATGGAAAGAGACGGAGGTTAATTCGCATCGGAGCACTCATGCGTTCCGTAGGTGAGGGAGAAAAACGAGAGACATCTTGAAACTATCGCGCCCGGCCCGAGAATTCAAGGGCTGTCGGCTGGAGAATCGGGGGAGTGCGCGGGAGGGAGGAGGTTCGTCGGAGAATTGGAATGGGTCATAGAGAGGTCGCGTCTCTTCTCTGATCCTTCGGCTCCCTCCGAATCTTAAACGTTCCCTCTCGGAAAACCTCGGGAGCCTGCGTGGTCTGCTGTCATTCTGGTCCCCCAAACGTGGTTATTTGTCACAACCGAGGCTCGCTCCTCCATGGGATTGCGGTTTCACCCATGGGCCTGGATGAGAAACCGCTCGTGCGCCGGGGCACTGCCGTACTAGCCGACCGGGAGTCACTATTCATTTGTTCATGTCTTCGAATCTCGTCTATGCAGCGTGAAACCCACGGGGCGTTCAGGTGTGATGCACGTTTGCGAGCAGGCGGGGTCGACCTTGAAGTGCGCCCTCGACCTGTGCTTGGGGGCAGAGCTGTTCGGCTTACTGCGCGTGTGAATGTTCATTTGAATACGCGAGCTTGCGAACTCGCACACCATGAATAGCTCCGTACACAGCGAGGGCGGGGATCTATCTCTCTGAGCATTCAAAGCAGCGTGCTCTCGCTCTTACTCACCATATCGTCTGGTCCCTCGCAAGAATGCTGATAGGGGAGGTTTTCCGGCACAAGTTTGTTCATGAAATTCTCGACGTCGTCTCGAACGTCGGGATCCCAGTTTTCATTGAGAGCCAGGCTAGCTGAGGTATGCATTACTGAAAACCGAAAAGAAAAATTTTGAGTTCCATCCGTCCGGTCAGCTATCTCCCAGCGTGACTGTACAAGGATCCGGTCTGGCTAGTTGCCCCCCGACAGCGCGGAGCTCTTGGGGGAAAGGAATTAACAGCGAAAGCTCTATTTAGTAAAACGCGATTCAGTGGACCATTGTCCTGATCCGGATCGTAGGCAGCCCAACGTTGAACCCTCTCGATCCAGCGAACCAATAGTGAACAAATCTCGAGGTCCCGAGCTTATTTACTGAGTCGAGTGCAGACTGTATCATCTCTAAAGTATGCCGTCGAATCAACGGAGACAACATGGATTTGAACTCACTTTGAATGTGCAGGAGACCGACGGCGAATTGTTGAATTTCAGGCACCTGTTTGAGAATTTCGTCGGTGATCAGATGGCCTCCACGGTGCTGTGGCCGTAGATTGATCTTCTTCTGAAACCACGAGCTACCGTGGCGAATCAGTCCTTGGCCAGACGGACCCGCACGGTCTCTTTCTCTCTCGCGGTCCGACGGGGCCGACGAGATCTGGTTGTGCGGCTGTGAGTGAGGATGCCCAACCGGGTGGGCCATAACCATTGTGCATGACAGGAGCCCCGTCAAAAATCCAGGGCGCCGTGCAGCACTGCACAACTCGAGTACGCGGGAGCAACACGCCGGTGTCCGAAGGACCTCCTCACGGCAACGACAGCGGGAGGGGTGCAGCAGTTAAACGGTGCAGGATCACGATGGTGTCCGGATTCCGAAGCCAGTTTGTCTTCGTATCTACGGCCGGCTTCTTTTTACGCTTCACTGCGTTCTGTCTCTTCGAACCTTGGGACTCCGGCTAATTCTAATGGTGTTCGCCGCGATGTTTTGCTGAATAATTTCAGGAGTTTCGTCGTGGGATTCGTGTCCAGGCGATGAACGCTGAATATGAGCTTTGATGAGACGTGTCTTCTCGGCGGATTCTGACTCGAGTTTTATTCGCTGTCCGGGCTCCGCATCCTACTCGAGTAAAGTCCGAGTATCTGAAAAGGCGGAACCTCTCGGCTTTCCGCAATAGGAGCACAATAGGGACGCCCGAGAAGGTTGCGAGGAGAGATCAGCCGTCGTCGAGGGATTCGCTCGCAATGGGTATGTGCCGAAGAAATCTCCCGAGCTGTATGCTCTAACTCGGGGCTCCTCCAAACGAATCGAGAGTTTTTTTTCCGGAATTCGATATAGATTCTCGTCGGGACTATCAATAAGACGTATCCCCCGGAGAGCTTCTACGGTGAGGTCGCTGTTGCATTTGTTCAAGTAGTGACCATCGCTTCCCGATCGCCTCGGATCGAACGTGTCCGTGTGGAGGTTCACTCAACAGTCGACCACGAAACAGGCCGAGTCGATTGGCGTGTGTTTTCTCTTGGTGACGGATCCGGCGCTCGTACCGAGTTCCCGGCAGCTGAGCGGATAATGGATGCGGCTTAAACAGAGCGCTCTCAGTACGAGACGGCGGGGGACATCAGGGGACCAAGCAGGATATTTCGGAGATGCATTCAGCGAACAACGGCACGTTTGATTCCCATCTCACGGAAAACGATGCGGCTCGTGAGAGAACGATCCAATGGAGATCACCGATGACAAATGAATCGATGAAGGGATGGATGAGCTTTAGAAAAATGGTCGATACGTCGAAATATAGGTGACTTGAACGAATGCTTCCAGAGAAGAGCTCCGATTCCTCTCCGATCTCAGGCCGGGTAGTTTAGTCGAAGTTTGCTAAGAGCCCGTTCTGAACCGGATCCCTGCGACGGAGTTCGTTGATGTGGGTGGAATCTGGAGATTTCCGTGATTGAACTTTACAAGTGTTTGAGATTTGTTCTTTTTCGATCACTTGGTTCCGGGTGATTGCTTTCACACCTCTACAAATGCACTTGGGATTCCCCTCTCATTCGAGTGCGTCAGCTCCGAGAGAGTTCATTTTCTTCGGGGGGATGAATCCACGGATTGCAAGTCTGAGATTGGTTGTTCGTTTCTTTGTTTGTTTGATTGATGGATCGACTGATTGATCGATGTGACGTATCCAATTGATTTCTCTCTTCGTCTCGTAGAAAAACAGACGGATGCTCTTCGGAACTGCACGTGTAGTGGATGATACGCTCCGATATACGTTCGAGTTTTCCGTTCCTCTTTGTGTTGTCGTCGTTGTTGTCGTCGTAGCCGACTCAAGCACGAGGATCACTCATCAACAGAAGATAGAAGGTCGGAGGAAAGTTGGTTGCAATAGTAAACTTACTGCAGGAGCGGAGTATACGTTTATAATGATGATTTCAATAGTATAATCTTGTACTCATAGAATGCACAACCGTGGTTCGGGGCTCCATTCACACCTGGGCGCCCAGTGGGGGTTTGAGCCGACGTTCCGTACGTCGGTCGACAGCAGAGTTACCGCTGAGGCATACTGATCGCCGTCACAACAGGTCTCGCCTCCCTCGACCCCGGGACACGACAGCGAACAATCAGCTTCGTCTGTCGCGATCGTGGCCGTCGCGTCTCCGATGGAAAGCGATGCAGGAACAGCAGCTCTGCCGTGATCGGAGCTCCGGGGCTTGTTCCCGACGAGAGCAAAACCTTTCAATGCAGATGAATGCGCTCGTTCCCGTCGTAGCCCAGCCGTACTCACAGCTCGACTATGACATGGGGGGCATGTTGCGTTCATGTTCGCATGCGGCAACATCGAACATTGTGGCTAGTCTGGTGGAGCTGAGCGACGGAACGATCGGAGCGTGGCCGTTCTCCTCCTCAGGAATTGGCGAGTTCATCATCGTCAAATCAACGAGAACCACTCGAAACGAAGAAATTCATGGACGGCTCACAGACGAGTGCTTCTACCAGTTCCTATCCGCACGGTGCACCCCGTTCAGCTCGCTCGGCCGCTTAATCGGTCGAACGGTGGCTCGGCTGACGTTAGTGACTGGCTGGCTGGCTGGCGGGATGGCTGCCCGAGTGCGCTGGCTCGCTCTAGGCTCCGAATTCGAAGATCTGCTTCTCGATTGGGAGCTCCCGAAAGCCCGGAGGACTCGACGAACGAGCCCGCTCGGACATGGGGGCCGACCACACAACAACCTGGATGGATTGGCAGTGAATGTTGTTGCTCGCTCACTCCGTGCTCACCCGCTCGCTTACTTGCTGTATTATTGATAATAACGTTCTACAGAAGAGGAATAGGGAGAGGAGTCAAAATGGCGCCTGCTCCCTCACTTGCTTGTGATCTCTGCGTGCCCCCCAGAGGTGGGCCATTATGCCAGCCACAGCGCCCCCACGGGCTCGAACCTCATCCCTCCGGGATGTCAAGAGGTTTCGCGCAACTTTTGAAAAGCTGTCCCTCGAATCGGGACCTTGAGCCCCGGGGGACTCGTTCGTGCGGTTGGTGGTTGAGGGGGGGGGAGCGAGTTGAGGTCAGTCGTGGGTGGATGCTGGAGTTCCTCTGTACACCGAAGCCCCGGATTAGGGGTGAATGGCCCTCGGGGAGAGATCGTATCCGACTGCGAACACCCCCGGTCGCTTACGGTAATCGATTGACCTGTTGCGATTTTACTATCGAAGGGTTCTGATTTATCGATGTCAGACCAAAATTGAGCTCCGCCATAATGCGGGGTTAGCGGCTCCGCGAATAGGTGAGAGTTCCGAGGCTGCCGCCCTCTCAGACGAGGTTCATACAGCGAGCGGTCGCAAATGCTGATCGCCTGGGAAGTTTGCGGGAAGATGTGGAGTAAGCTCGGGGACCATATCGGTTGGCCTCGAACTTTGGCGGAATTACGACGCTCTCTGTATTCGACAGCCAAAGCATTTCCGACACATCATTCGATCCGCGAGCCTCGTTTGACAAATATTAGTGTTACGCGGGCCCGATCATTCAACGAAGACATGTGGCGGTCGACTTGTCTCGAGGAACAATTGGGTCAGAGCTGACAGTTTAGTCCCGTCACCTGGTGCTCTGAGAGGACCGAAACATCTTGACATACCTTCAAGCATTCCCAAATGCTGCCGTAGAGCGAAGTTGCGGGAGCGATTCAGCAATATTTGTCCGGTTCCGTTCCACAAGACACAGTGATCATAGGAGTCGGAAATTACACATCCTACCTGCAAACGAATGAGCTATCGCTACCAGGAGAGGTCTCGCATGCGTGCTCCTACCTCCGGTCGCATTGCGAGCGAAGTTGACTCCTAGACCCCGGAATGCTCCGATATCGCATTTCTCAGACGAAAGACGTTGGCGCTCTCCCGGGAGAAGGCATAGACGAGGGGAAACATGGACATTTCGCGAGGTCGAACAAGAGGCGGACGCGGGCTTCGACTTCCTCGAGAAGAGGAAGGATCCTTGCGGTCGAATGATTGAGGAGCAGCCGGCCTCCTTGGAGGCTGGAAAATGCTGGGTCCAAGTTTCCGTCGTCGGAATCGGCAGTGACTGCTGCCAGGAGCCTATCGAAGGTGGAGAGGCGCTCCTCCAAAACAAGTCCAAGTACAAGCTATAGACAAGTCATCAGTATGAATATATACATATGGGGAGATGTGAAAAAAATACAGTATATGGGAACCGCAACGGATCACCCCTGGTGGGCGAGCCAATGATCATTGGTCTGTTTTAGCCGAAATCAGGATCCAGGACTGCGGTAAGAGGCGATCAGAGGTCGGCGAATTCGGTACCTCCATCGCGATCCCTCAAATGGGGATCCCGCGCCGAGAGAATGAAGCAAACTGTTCCCACCAATGGGATAGAACATCACCAGCGGTGGGTGAGTCATCATATCCTATCCGACTATCCGATCGATTCACTAGTACACTCCCACCAAGTTCTCTGGGGAGTGAAGCGTACCGCACCGCAACCAAGCTACGCACCTAGGTGCGATGAACGGTATGATCATAGGAGAAGATGACGTGTGGATTCTATAGATTCCTGCTAGAAAGAAGCACGATGCCTAATCCGGATGATCCCAGCCCTGCATGAAGGAGAGGGCGCTCTCTTTAGAACCTATCCCTCGATGAGTCACCAATGGGCCCAGTCGCGGCGAGATCAGACAGTCTTCATCCTATGTCGGCGAAACTATTCGACGTGTGAGCGATATGAGACGTCCTAAGAATCCCGCCTGAGCGCTCGCTGCGTCGGCGTCGCTACATTGCGACATCGCCCTATGCTCGAATGCTGGGTCGTATCTCCAAAGACGTTGCATCCCACGGATTACTCGACCGTTCACGACCTCGGCTCGTTGCCACTACGACCAATGATCAGAGCCCCTATGCCCGGGCGCTCACTATTTTCCGGCCCCGTCCCTAACCATGGCTGATTGCTTGAAGGAGAGAGCTCTAATTTCGCAGTGCAACTTCATATTGGGCGGGATCGATTCATGTACCCATCGATTCGTCCCCACAGTGATAAATACTTGGAGTGTCTTTGATAGATAATTCACTGTACCTTGAGATGAGAGTTACATAGCTTTTTTGGAAGTTTCATGTATATCAATCCTCCACGCCGGAAAGGATAGAAGGCCCAATCCAGGAAGGATGGCGAGCCTTTACGCCTTGATAGCTCGGTCGCTCGCTTTTAAACACTTGTTCTCGCAACAGATCCACCTGAATTCACGTACGTGACCCTCATCCGGAATGCGAC